ATAATCTTTCTTCATAGTCTTCCTATGCTGAATCGAATAGAATTACGAATATCGATTTTCACTGAAAGCATAAATCAATCAGTACAAACTATGTGTGTGTGTTGGTTCATTCTAGCTACTAGACATAGGCGACTAATAAATGAAACAGGTGGAACTTGTATAGAATTATTGATTTTCAATAGTTTCTGTTGTACACCTTACTTGAAATAAATAGTGAACAAATGGTTTTGCTATTATCTCAAGTGGAAGCCTTTGTTTAAGTCACTGACGACTATTGATATTACTTAGTACAGTTCATGGATTGCAATTAATTAAACCGGGGGAGATTTACTGTTGACCAGCAATGGTATACCTACGTAAAGAGAAAAGCAAGATTCTGTGATTCTGTAACACACCATGCACCAACCAAATCACTCGATGGAGATGATCGGAGGACGTAAAAACCTTTACGTGTCTGAGCAGCATCATTGATGAACAAGGAGGATCTGATGCAGATGTAAAGGCGCGGATCGGCAAAGCGAGGGCTGCATTTTTACAATAGAACAACATCTGAAACTCAAAACAACTATCAACCAACACCAAAATCAGAATTTTCAATATAAATGTCAAGACAGATCTACTTGGCTCTTCTATCACACACGCAACAACAAATGCAAGAGAAGACGACCAGTGTAGCAGCAGCCTCAGCAGCAGTAGGTCTCAACATACATAAAGGCAAAAGCAAAATTCTCCGATGCAACACAACATGCACCAACCAAATCACTCTTGATGGAGATGCCTTGGAGGACGTTAACACCTTTACATATCTGGGCAGCATCATCGACAACCAAGGTGGATCGGATGCAGATGTGAGGGCACGGATCGGCAAAGCAAGGGCTGCATTTCTACAGTTGAAAAATATCTGGAACTCCAAACAACTTTCAAACAAAACCAAAATCAGGATTTTCAATACAAATGTCAAGATAGTTCTACTGTATGGAGCGGAAACCTGGAGAACTACGAAAGGCATCACTCAGAAGATACAAGTGTTTATCAACAGTTGTCTATGCAAAATACTTCGTATTCATTGGCCAGACACGATTAGCAACAACGAACTGTGGGAGAGAACAAACTAGATTCCAGTGGAGGAGGAGGAAATCAGGAAGAAGCGGTGAAAGTGGATAGGACACACACTACGAAAAGCACCTAACTGCGTCAAGTGACAAACCCTCACTTGGAACCCTCAAGGCAAAAGGAAAAGAGGAAGGCCAGAGAACACATTACACTGAGAAATAGAGAAAGACATGAGAAGAATGAACAAAAATTGGACAGAATTGGAAAGGGAAGCTGAGGACAGAGTTGGTTGTGCGAAAACTGGTCGGCGGCCTATGTTCCATTCTAGGTAACAGGAGTAACTAAGTAGAAAGTAGATTGGTTTGGTGTTGTTCTGTGTTCCAGTTGACAGATAAAGCCTAACAGGCGTTTATACATTCACCAGTTTGTGGGGAGCGGGTCATTGAAAAATTCTCGATAAACTTCACGTTTTGACAGAATTTACCCTTGGATTTTAAAATTACATCAATTTACGAGAACACTCGTAAAACAATCATAAAATTATAATCATCAAGATTGTAATCATTCAATAAAAAGAATTTTAAAATTGCTGAATATGTTTTTTCTTGAATGAACTAATTAAATGATCGACATTTTCTTCAATTCATTCTGACGTCGTGTACAATTAACCATCATAGAAATTACATCTGACGTAAACTTTACTGTATTTGTTTACATGTATGTGTGTGTGTGCGTGCGTGCGTGTGTGTGTGTATTCATGAAATAATCTGTTGTGCATCAATGGAATAACTAGATTCTTAAAAATCAATAACCTTTTTGATATCTTATACATTGAAATCAAAAAGTGTTTGTGATGGAGTTTCGTTCTCTCTGAGATGGAAGTTTTAGTTGTGTAAATCTTTCATTGTGGTTATTCTTCTGAACAACATCATCACCATCAGTAGCACAAACTTCAAGTAGAGAAGTGAAGTATCCGAATTTCTTGAACAACGATTTGTTGCTTGTGCTATCGGCTTCGATTTTTATTGGTTGTGATTGACCTGAGTTTGTAGTTTAGAAGAAGAAGAACACTGAAAGCTCCACAATCAAAACATCCAGATCAGAGAGAATGAAACACCATCATAATCATCCATTGGAGCTATGGAAACGTTCTCCACTATCTCAAATTTTAAACATTTAAATGATATGCCAAAACGGAACTTAGACTGGGTTAAATGTTCAGAGCGGAACTCGAACCCATCAACTCTAGGATGTAGGTACTTGCAGATGATGAATCCTAAATCGGATGAAACGCCTGTCCAGGATTCCCCTACTAGCTATATTTCAAATAATCAATGTAAACTTGTGTCACAATGGATATATATATATATATCTAAGCAATCCGCATAAAATGTTCATGTTGCAACCAAGAATGATCAACAGTGATACAAACAGTTATGGACTACCCAGATATTTACTTCAGAATAATTAGTTCAGATTAGATTAAATTTTTGTATGCCAGAAAACTAAATAAGATGCCAATATCCAGATGAAGGTTTCTTCAGTTCAAAATGAAATATTATGTTGTAGGTTATCTGTGTTTTAATTTTGATATGTGCTAATCCTACAGACTAACTATGTGAGCAAGAAGGCGAGATCAAAAGGGAAATTCTAACTAGCTAATGAATTACACGTAAAAATACTCGTACATATATTTGTAGTAATAACACAACTATTGTAGTGAAGGAGAACACAGGTGAGGGGCAACCGAATTGTATTTGTCGCAAATTACAGAGTTACTCAGTAAAATAGGAAAATCATATCGTAAACGGTTAATTTGCAAATCTTCAATCCATCATCAATCCATTGTCTGACATTTCACTTATTCATGCGTTTCATACAAATTCCATTGTGTTCCCCCCACTCTTCCTTTCTTGATCTTTCCCCATCTTCTGCTGCTAGACATTACGTTTACACTCGCGTCATATATTACCTATAAGTAGCGCGCACCATACTATATATGAATAAAGAAAACAAAGAGAATTACAATCCAATCACGGGTCGATCAATGATAGACCACCATTAGAAACCTTGAAATAAGAGTGTCGGATATGAGGCAATTACCCACTGAAGACAACGAATTAGATCACACAATATCGTGAATTGATTGAAATTAGAAATCAATACTGTTGCATGTTGGCTTGATGATGAAGAGGTTGAGCATGTGTGAGCGACACCGAAGGTCCTGCCTGGAATTCATTCCGAGTTGTAAGGATTGTGGATTTTTACTGACGATGAAGTGCATACCAAGACGAAGCCCGATGTTCAATGCTTGCAAGTTTATGACGTTTGTCTTAGATTGATCAATTTATGTTTACAATTGAAAAGATAGTTACATTTGACTAAAAAAGATTACACATTCGAAATCATGAATCAATCATTGTTAGACTACCATTGAAAACAAGGAAGCAGTGAAAGACGGCCGTTTCGTCCTGGCGTTCGCGCACAATACCCAAGGTCCCGGGTTCGTATTGTACGAGATGCAGGAGTAGTGGATGCGCACTGCCACTGATGAATTAGTCCCATACCAAGACGAAACAGCCGTATTTCAGTGCTTCCAAGTTTTCAATGGTGGTCTAACACTGATTGATTGATGATTTCAAATGTGTAGAAACACTAATCTCCATAACTCTAATTAAGAAAGATTACATGTACATTGGTCAAATTAGGTCATTCTATAGTTAAATGAGATAACTAACTGTTGGTTTTTAACGGGTCTCAGGTTGGCCAACGTTAGAAATAGGATATGTTTAGTAAAATATAGAATTCTTCTCAACAAATCATATTTTAGCAATTCCCGTTTAGAAAAACAGTTATTGTCAGTTGGAAGCATTCATCCAGCCTATCCCTATATCACTAAATATAGATAGATCTTCGAGGTAATCAGTGGTTGAGCATACGTAACACATGTCCCAACCACCACAACTGATGAAGATGCTGTACTTCATCTATTGATCTGCCATCCTTACCTAGCACTCGTTTCCTAACAACAGCATTGCTTACTCGGTTGTCCCACGATATACAATCAATGCTCAGAAGACATGTATCTATGATCGAATATTAATAACCCTACGAATAGTTATGTTTCACAATCACATAGTAGGACGTAAATCGAAATCCCCATACGCTCAAAGCAGCAATCTTGCATAAAACTTTTGAAACATGATTCTTGAAAAGATGAAAAAGTGAATAAGCATACAACACCAAAGGGTTCAGTAAAATTCAAGTGTCTAGTAAACAAACAGTGGTTTAGAAATCAGCAATGTATATATATATGAATTGAACAGTAGCAATGATTGGTATGAACAATATGTTGTTCTACATACTACTACACTTTATTAGGGCTGTATGTACTATTGACATGTCTTATTATTATTCTTGAATGAAATTCAAATGTACACATGTGTATTTTTGTGTGTAGTTTTCTGTGTGTCCACACTAGATTTCAATGGATATACATAATACACATGTGTAGATGCCCAAACTATATATATTTCTATATATAAATTAATCGATTTTGGTTTAGGGGAAAATGCCAAACTGTTTTCCCAAATCGTATATGTGGGTGTGTGTGTGTATGTGTCATGAAATCAACCATAAAGATATACAGACAGACATACAATGTTGTTCTTTCCTTGGATTTTGCAGTGAATTTTTCCAAACTAATAAATAAAAACAATGAACAATAGAGAAAATGAACAGAAAGATTATGAGGGGGAAAAAAATACGAGAGAGAAGAGTGAAACAACACAATATGCCATGAGTATAAATAGTCACTTGTTTGTTTTATACACTGAATAAGTTGATAAATAATATTTAAACAAATAAATAAGTAATCAACGGATGACATGACTAATTCATAGCAAACATGATTTCGCGCCTTTTTTTCTCCCGGTTAGTTTAAACATCTCCATCTTTGATTGATTGATTGATTGAACAGGATTCAGGATTGACACAGCTGATAGGATATAATTGTTGTTGGTGTCAAGAAAATGTCAAAAAATTATCTAACACCGCCCTCAACCTCATCATCATCATCATCTTTATCGCCAGTGTGTCATCGTCATCGATCGACAAGTAATCAATCATGCCAGCATACACGTCATCCTATGAATGCAACATTGTCACCTATGAAAGAAACTTACAATTGTGAATTGATGCATTCCAATTGTCATAGTTTGATTACATCAAAACCAATCAGTAGTCAATCACAACATCGTTATGGATTATCATGCTACTCGAAACAGCAACAATCACAACCACAATCACAAACGCCACATGATGTATTATTATTCAACAGTCAACATTTGCCAAGAACTATGCTATCCTCACAAATACAAAGACCAATTAATATAAACAATTCACCTAAACAATCTTATTCACCAAGTAAATATGAGCAAGAATCATTTGATGATCATAGAGGAAATTATTCTTATTCCATTATTAATACTAATAATAATGATAATAATAATAGTAATATTAATTACTATAAATCAAATATTAGACAACACAGTCCCTATAATCATCATTTGCACTATACAAGACCTACTATAAAACGAATGCCAGAAACGGTATTACCAGTGAATCGATTGAGTAACAGTACAATTTATCATCAGCAGCCTAGATCACAGCTGACGCCATGTTTATCAACAGAACAACAACTACAACAACAACATCAATTGAAACCATCTTCAACTGGATCACGAAATACAAACCAGCTAGTACAGTATCCTCAACAAAGAACTCCATCACCTTTAAAATACACTACATTTGATCATCATAATAATGATAATAATTATATTAATGACGATGAACCAGATATATGGAATGTTGGTTCATCAACACGACGATTATTTGATCATCAACCGATTTATTTGACAAATTCCAATAAACTGAAACAACAGAATAAACTATTGAACAAATCGAAACATTCAATTTTACAATTGGATAATTTTAATACTCCATTCAGTACAGATTGTTGTACTACAGGAAGTTTACTTAGTACAACAGATGAAGAAACTGTATCATTGAACACGATAATAGATAATGAAGAGAATATGAATTTATTGTTTGGACATTCAAATTCATTGAAACCATTGAATGTCATCACCAAACCAGAAATGTATGCATCAACTAATACTCTTGTACCACAATCAATTGATAAATCATTTCAATTGCATCATGACATTTATCCATTTTATTCTTTACAGAAAAAAACACAACAAACTAATTTAATGCATAAACATGTAATGGTAAGTTATTTTAATGATTTCAATTGTTCAATTGTTCGATAGGATATTGTTGTATTTGTAAATTGGTTTAAATCTGTTCCCCGTCATAAATTAAAACCAAAACAACTTAATGTATGTGGCATGATGAGGTTGTGACGATTGTTAAGTTACACATTTTTTAAAAAAAACCATGAATCGATCAATGTTAGATGGTTAGGCGTTCGCGCACAATACCGAAGGTCCTGGGTTCGAATCCTGTGAGGTGCAGGAGTCGTGGATGCGCACTGCTGATGAGTTAGTCCCATACTAGGACGAAACGGCCGTCTTTAAGTGCTTGCAGGTTTCTACTGGTGGTGGTCTAACATTAATCAATTCATGGTTTCAAAAATGTGTAACTTAATGTTAAATAATGTAGAATATTGTTTTGCGGAAAAAAGAAACATTCTCGTCAATTGATTTTAAAGTTCTATGTATTATTCAAATTAATTTTCTAATGAGAAGTGATCAAGTTTATACTGCCATGTGAAATTAAGATTTGTTTGTCATTGAAATGGATCATGTTGGAATAATTCATATGAAGTGTTTACTTGAATAAGTGTATAAATAAGTTCAATGAAATTGTGAGATGTATGACCAGAATAAATAATAAGATCAAATAGAGTCGAATAGAGGTCATAATGTAGTGAACGAGAACACAGGTGAGGCAACCGAATTCTACTTGACGAAAATTACAGAGTTACTCAGTAAAATAGGAAAACCATATCGTAAATCGTTCATTTGCAAAATATCAGTTCATCATATCGAACTGGACTGTTCCTGTTGCAAAACATCAATCCATTGTCACTCACTATTCATGCGTTTCATACACAAATTCCATTGTTTTCTAACTCTTCCTTTCTTGATCTTTCCCCATCTTCTGCTGCCAGACATTACGTTGACATTCACGTCATATACTACTTATAAGTAGCTCACACCACAATGACACTAATATAAATAAATCCTTCTCAATCATTAATCAGGTTGAGTAATTTTCTTCCAAAATAAGTCCTAATCACAATGCTTAAAATGGCAGAAATAACAGTTGTTCGCATTCGAAATAGCCGGAACTATGTGTTCAAAAGAGGTCTACTACATTCAGCCCCTTTTTCTTACTGTAGCCAACCAGAAGCCTAATGAAACAGTATTGATTTCTAATTTCAATCAATAGACGATATTGTGTGATCTCATTTGTTGTCTTCAGTGGGTAATTACCTCATGACAGATTCTCTTGCTTCATGGTTTCTAATGGTGGTGTAGTAAACGAGAACACAGGTAGGGCAACGGGATTTATATTTAACGAAAATTACAGAGTTACTCAGTAAAATCGGAAAACCATATCGTAAATCGTTCATTTGCAAAATATCAGTCCATCATATCAAACTGGACTGTTCCTGTTGCAAAACATCACAATCCATTGTCACTATTCATGCGTTTCATACAAATTCCATTGTGTTCCCACTCTTTTGTTTTCTTGATCTTCCCCCATCTTCTGCTGCCAGACATTACGTTTACACTCACGTCATATACTACTTATAAGTAGCTCACACCACAGTGGTCCAATAGTATCTTTATTCACATAGGGTTGTATTATTATTATTATTGTTGTTATTATTAATATTGGCTTAACCCTCGAACACATGGTTAGTTGTTTTAACATTCACCTCACTGTCGTTATTCATACTGAAGCATATTAAGCATTATGCCTGAAGCCCCTCTGTGGTTACTGCTGATCTCAAACCCGGATGAAGGAGGAAGCCTGGGAGTGGAGTTAGCGACTGCGACCCGTAAAAAATTCAACTCACTCAAAAAGCGTTAACCCATCTTGCGAGCTGCAGGAGTCGTGGATGCGCACTACTGATAGTCAGTCCTACATCAGGACAAGAAGGCCGTCCAGTGCTTCCAGGTTTCTAATAAAAGGGTTAATAATGATTGATTGATGATATAAACGTGTTAAAAAAACTGCATTATTATTTGACCTAATATGTATTTTGATCATTCATCATACAATTTCATTTAGCGTATAAATTTATTCAAGTGAACACTTCACAGATTAATCATTCGAACATTAACTATTTTATATTCAAAAATAATCGCAAACTCACATTGTGCCGTAATTTGAATTGATGTCATTTTTACCCCAAAAAACTCAATCACTTCTTTTTGGAAATATAGAATTGTACAATCTGCAGTACGGAGTTTTGAAGATTGTTAATTTACACATTTTTGAAACCATCAATCAATCGATCAACGTTAGACCACCATTAGAAGAAACCTGGAAGCACTGAAAGACGGCCGTTTCATCCTGGTATGGGACTCATCAGCAGTGCGCGCACCTACGAATCCTGCACCTCGCAGGATTCGAACCCAGGACCTTCGGTATTGTGCGCGAACGCTCTAACCGTTAGACCATTGAGCCGGTATCTAACGGTGTTAATGTCTAATTTGATCAAATTCACGGAGTTGCGCAACCTCATACACAGTCTTCGGTAGACACTGCCTATACCCGAACAAGTTGAACTTCATTGGTCACAATCGATTCATGGATTCAAAAATGTGTAATTTTACAATCAGCTGAAAACACTTTTCGCTTCACTGCTACATTAATGGATTCTTTTTTTGAAAATATTCTGTTCACTCGGATGATTTATGTATCTACAAATCAAAAGTGATCGTTTTTTTTCAAAAAAAAATGGACATCAGCTTAAACAAATCGGAAAACACAGTTATATGAAATATAAAACTTAGAGTATTTATGACTTTTAGTTTTCGACGGAACATAAACAGCTGACCAGAATTCTCCAACCTACTCTGTCTTCAGACTTCCTTTAAAGTTCCATCCTGACTGTTGTTCATTCTTTCGAGTTCTACTTAAAATTTTTCGCTCAGTGTGTCCCTTGATCTACTTCTTTTTCTCTCACATTGAAGATTCCAAGTGAGAAGCTTGTCTTGTGATGAAGTTTGGTGCTTTCCGAATTTTGCGCTTCTTGATGATTTCTTTGTTTTCCTCAATCTCCTTTATTTCATAGTAGGTTTTTGCAGATAGTGTCTGACAACTTTTACTGAACACTTGCATCATCCAAATGATGTCTTTTGTAGCTCTCCAAATTTCCGTCCCCATGTAGTAGAACTGTCTTCATATTTCTGTTGAAAATTCTGACTTTAATGTTGGTTGATAGTTGTTTTGAGTTTCAAATATTGTTCAGCTGTAGAAATGTCGCTTAATTACTTGCTTACTTACTTACTTACTTACTTACTTGCTTACTTACTAACTTACTTGCCTACTTACTAACTTACTCACCTACTTACTTACTTACTTACTTGCTTACTTGCTTGCTTACTTACTTGCTTGCTTGCTTAATTACTTACTTACTTAGTTACTCTCCTACTTACTTACTTACTTAATTTCTAACCCATTTACTCATTTATTCGCTTGCTTGCTTACTTACTTACTTATTCAGTTACTTACTTACTTACTTACTTACCTATTTACTCACTTATTTGCTTACTTACTTACTTACTTACTTGCCTAATTACCTACTTACCCACTCACTTACTTACTCACTCACTTACTTACTTACTTACTTACTTAGACCTTTTAACCTCCATAAAATATATAGGCTATCAATCAAGTTTCGCTTCTTAATTCTGTTGTCCTATTGCTATCTTTTCTCCATTTTTATTTTTCCCTTAATTACTATTCATTTTTTTGACATTTGCATCCAATTTCACGTAAAATAGTGTTTTTGAATGAGTTTTTCTTTTTCTGACACTAATCATTATTGAACATTCTTCTCTTCTAATATGAAGGAATTCTGGTAATAAATCTTGATAAAAAAAAGTTATGTAAATTTGTTCGTTATAATTTATGCATTCATTCTATATTAGTAGAGTTAACTTTCATATATATAAATCATATTTTATTAGAAAATATTTTTTTTCTCAATATTTATTAGTTTATTGTAAGTAAGTGAAATTCATTAGGGGAATTTTTTCTTTCTAACATCCAAAAATTTGAACTAGATTAGTAAATCTCAGCTCGGATATAGAAGGCTCGATTGGCTTTTGCCAGCCTGCGTCACATATGGCGTAGGCGTGATATCCGTTTGTTGACTAAAGGACGAGTGTACTGAGCAGTAGTTTGCTCCGTCTTACTTTATGACTGTGAAACATGGCCAGTGAGAGTAGAAGATATTCGTAGGTTATTGGTTTTCGATCATAGGTGTCTTCGAAGCATTGCTCGTATATCGTGGGACAACCGAGTGAGCAACGCTGTTATTAGGAATCGGATGCTAGGTAAGAATGGCTGGTCAATCGATGAATTGGTGAAACTTCATCAGTTGAGGTGGTTGGGACATGTGCTGCCTATGCTTAACCACCGACTGCCTCGACGAGCTTTGTTTTGTGGTGTAGGAGTAGGTTGGAAGAAAACTAGGGGCGGCCAAACCAAAACATGGCAGAAATCCATGAAGTCATTGACGAGTGTACTTAGCCATGTCGGTAATTGTCGATTACCTGGTTGGGGTCCACGAGATGATAATAATCGGTGGTTAGAGACCTTGAATGACATGGCTCAAAATCGTTCGCAACCTTTACTACCTCTTTTACTATTGGATTTGAATTGACAATTACATCTGTGTGCTGATGTGGTATGGCGACATGAACTGATGTACTTATGTACGAAGTTCTACGTTGCATCTGACTGACTGACTGACTGAGTAAATATAATATATGAGAAAAGAATGATAGTGGTTAACAGTGAGGCCCCGGGACATATGTGTCTTTTAAAGTGAATGGTATACTGGGTTCGAATCTTGGAGTGGACTTCTCAACTCTGGGTAACAGGTACATGTACAAAAATGAATAACAATGAAGACAAAGAGGTTTATTTTATCAAATGTGTTTAGATTTATCACCTAAACGCAACTTACTTTTCAGTATGATTACTAACATTCAAAAGATTTAATTCAACTTGAAAATGGTGT